TGGATGAACTGGTATAAATCACCCACTACTAACACAAATGTTCTAGATTTTATTGCTGTACGATCTTCTGTAGCACTCATGTTATCATATGAGCACTAGAGGAGTTCACTAGTGAGATTAGAGAGTAGATGGCGCCCTCACCTGTCTGGAAGCGTGACTTTAAGACATCGGGGGGAATCGCCACGGCCCAGTTAAAGATCCCCGCCATACCGCCCGCAAACAGCACACTGGGCACGCTCAGCTCACCCGGGCTTTAAAAAAGAAAAACTCTCATCAGACTTCATTCATAACCACTCATAACACAGAGATACGGCCTCAGCCATAACCACTCATAACAACATCTCTGAGTCTAAAAACGGGCAGGAAACACACAGAACCGTGAAAAGGTTCTAAACACCTGAGAAAAACAGTTATAAAGCTGTTTACTGGGCAGAGAGCATTTACAATAATACAATAAATACAAAAAATATTAATAATGCAAGTAACGATTTTTGTACAGTCATGCAAAAGGTCAAACTACAGGTTTTATTGATTTTCTAAGTGAAAGTAAGCGAACAAAATAGCTGTTTAGAAATAAACTGCTGAATTGCTTAATTAAACTTACTGGAAAAAAAAAAACAAATTTGGCACATTTTATATTGTATGTTTTATTTTTCCCCTGTAAGTTCAATTCAGCAAATAAACAGAAATCTAAATATAAATTGTACATGAAAATCACTAAAATTATTACATTTATATATTATATTATTATATTTTCTTACTTTGTTTTGTTCTCTGTTAACTTAAATTTTTACTTAGAAAATTAACAAGACATGTAATTTGAGCAGTGACACCCGTCAGTGACGACGGTTTGTTTTTATAGCTGAATAATTTTATTCAAATATATATATATATATTCGTGTATATATATTCAGCTATTAAAAAAAACGATAAATAATTATAAAAAAAATTAAAAAGAAAAAGAAAAAAAACAAACAAATGGACAAAGTACGTAAAACAATCAGTTCAGAACTTCGTGTTGTTACAGTTACGTACCTCTTTCCCTCCGGTGTGAGGAGGTTCTTCAACCACTCGTACGTCATAAAGTACATCCCACTGGCCGGTACATCTGAAACACAGTGACAGCTGTCAATCACCCAATGAGGGTGGAGTCAGACACCCCTCAGCCACACCCACAACTCATCCTCATCAGGTAAAATATCACTGCACACTTACATCTATATTAAAGCGGGCAACGTAATGAAAATATATTATGATACTTTAAGACAAATTCATGACACGATAAACATCATATTTAATTATTATGTCCAACCAACAGCACTGCATTAAAAAGAACTTCAAACTAGCCCTAGAACCCAGAACGAGATCACTTAGTCCTGAACTGAACTGATCTTTTTCTCCATACAGAGTCGGCGTACATTACCAGAAGATACAGCACTGCAGCCTGTAGATGTTTAACTAAAATTCAGCGTATTATTTACACATCATTCAGCCCTGAACACAGCCAATGCACACCACATTAGCCCTGAGCCAAACTAGCCCTGGTATGTTTAGCATGGTTTAAATAGTCTGTAGATGATTAATGTTTACTGAACACCAGCTTTACCATCCCCATCCAAATAAGACAGGATCCTGAAGGCCTGTAGAGTCTGATGTTTAGGGGCAGCTAACCAGCCTGAATGATACAAATGAACAGCAGAAACTTACAGAGGCCTAATTAATACAAGGAGGTGCCAGAAGCAGCAGAGCCTTCCAGCACTCTTAGCTGGACGTAGCTTAGGCTATTTTGGTGTTATAACATTTAGGGCATGAAGGGGAGACATTTGGAAACATAACAACAGCTGCGTTTGCTCACCTTGACTGAGCCGGCCCCATAAAAAAGGGCCGTCAGAGGATCAGTCGGGTGATGGGCTCCCATCCTGACGGTTGCGGCTGAACCCAACATCTGTCTTGTTTTTTGTTCTCTCTCTCTCTAAACTTTTACAGAAGACTGAAACGGGCCCTGTTTCCTGGATCGACCTGCCTCAGACAGTCTCTGGATGTACCTAATAAAGTGTCCAGGGAGTGTGTACAAAACGCTTGTATTTCCACTTTTGTCCTATTATTTGAAAACTTCATATTTACCCTTTGTATTGTCTTAAAACTAAAAATGGTACAAAATTACTTGGAAAAAATTCTTATTACATTAACTTACAGTACGAGTTAAGAATGTTTTTCCCCTGTAAAGCTACCATTTTGGAGATACAAGGTTGGTTCAGACAGTGATGATTTATGTATATAGGGTTGTAGTAACTGTCCCTGCTGTGCTGGAGAAAGGTGCAGTTGGGGAACGTGAACAGTAGACAGTTTAGATTAGCGGAATGTTAAATACCTCTCATTAAAGTCAGCGCAGTGCCTTTGTAAACGCCCCTAATGCCATTTTCTCTGTAGATCTGTTTTACACAGTCTATCGGCCCGGCGTACTTCACCTCTCCAGAGGCCGCCTGGATCTATACAGGATCAAACACACACACACAGATTATCTGAGGTGATTAGGGGTCAGTTTAGGTCTCTCAGGCTACTGAATATGTTTCTATACAAATAAGGGCTTATTAGCACTCCATATTCACTCCATATTAAACTGAAAGAAACAGCTCCACTCATTCATGTCATAAACAGACATTGGTAAAATGTGGGACTATTAGAAGATCAGAAGGTCATTATATGGTTATTATATTAACATCAGGGAAAATGCAAACTATGGGGTGAGACTCTGTAACGCTCACATGTGGAAAGTTGTAACTGAATTTGTATCACAATGATAATCGCAATGGTTACCATCATCATCCAAGATCAAATTTCACTTGGGAAATCCAGTTTTTCAAAATTTGCATGATAAAGTGGTTAAGATGTAAACAGAGTCGTTCAGAGTGGTTTGGTGTGAAACGCTCTGTTCTAGATAAACTTACCGAGTCAGAACTGTTCACAGTGGTGGTGATAGGAACCAGACGTCCACCTCTAAAAGCTCCCTCACAGAAAGTTACTACATGAAATGGTTATGAATTCACTGCCTGATGACTGAGACACTGTTTTATGATAGTTTAGAGAACTTAAACTCCATTCATGGTGGAGGGATACATGCAGGGTGCTGTGAGGCAAAATAGTCCCCAAAGAAAACTTATTATTTCAGATTTTCCACTATTTTCCATCATCAACATTCCATATAAACTCAGAAGACTCGTGTAGGTTCACTGGTGGTTCTGGACACACTTTTAAAAAAGATGGTTCTTCAAGAGGTCTATATAGAACCATGAACACTCAAAGAACCCTTTGCATGATGAAAGGGTTCTTAAGAATATGCTGTAGACTACTCAAAAGGATTCTATATAGCACCAATAAGGGTTCTTCTATGGTTACAATGTCAAGCTTGTAACAGTAGAAGAACCCCTTTGGGTGCTATATAGAACCGTTTTCACAAAGGTTCTATATAGAACCATCTACAACGCATTCTCCATCATTTGGAAGAACCATTTCAGGATGCAAAGAACCCTTTACAAGAGTAAATGTTCCATGAGTGTTCATGGTTCTATACAGCACCTTTTTCTTTACTAAAGAACTCTTGAAGAACCATCTTTAAGTGTGTAGTTAATAAAATGTCTATATTTGTGTTGTTGTCATGGCGACCCCTGGTTCCTATCACCACCACTGTAAAGACATCTGAACCATTTCACACCAAACCACTCTGAATCTCTCTGATTACATTTCACACATTGAATTATGTGGCCATTTTGAAAAATCGGTAGACTTCCCCTTTACTCACTATATGTCGCAGTGCTGTGTCCATATTGTGCAGTTTAAGGTCACAGTTTTCAAACTAAAAGCAGAATTAGGCACTTTTTAAAGAAGTAATGATGATCAGAGCTGTTCAGAACACACTGACCTGCAGGAGGCACTTAATTCTCTCTCCAGGAGCCATGATGGCTGTAGTGAAAACACCGGAGAGCATCCCGGCCGCGAACAGCTGAGGATACCTACAACACACACACACGCACACCGACACAGAACCCAGCTCAGACACACAACCCACAATCCCACAGGGTTAACTCTGAAACACACAGATACTCACGACAGGATATCGTCCGGGCTTTTCTGCTGCAGCTTCTTCCCGAGACCAAAACCGAAGAAGCAGACCGCGAACATCGGAGTGACTCCGATAATCGGAGCAGCCATTCCTTTATACAACCCCCTAACACCCTGAGAGAGAGAGAGAGAGAGAGAGAGAGAGAGAGAGAGAGAGAGAGAGAGAGAGAGAGAGAGAACAGGAAGTTTAGGAGATCTAGTGAAGTCATCAAAACAAGATCTGGGGCCGTATTACAGAAACTTCTTAACTCTGAAATCTGATCTGTTTAGTCTCCATGACGACTTCAGTCTGGACTGAATTTCGGACAGTAGCTATTCCAGAATAAGAGTTCCTACCTTCATAATCTCATCATGAACTCCAGATAAGAAAACAGCATCACACAAACATCCTAACTAGACTAAACCTCCTAAATCCTGTCCTAACTTTAGGATGAACCCCAACAGGGTCCTCACTTCTGTTTAAGGTCCGTTTCTATGGTTTTTAGGCAGCTGTGTCAGCAGCATAGTTCACTACCAGCATAATGAGCTCCATTTATCTCTACTGTAAAACGCTGCTTTCACTGTGAGATGATTTTCTTTTCTAACTCTGCGTTTTAAAGATCTCAGACGCTGCAGACTCGATCTCCACCGCCCCTCTGATCACCTTCGTGTGTTAATGTTGATGATGAAATATTACAGTGATGGTGGTGAATAATGAGGAGACGGAGCTGAACGTGTGTCTGTTTATTAGGAGGAGTAACGTTAGCACGCTCGGCTAAAGCGTTTGGGAAATGGAGACTGAAACTGGGGAGCGGCGACGCTCTGAAAAACAGCAGGGGGCGCTCTCACTGTATTCACAACCTACAGTTTATCACACTTTAGTTTAGTTTGACCTTTTTGTACATCAGTAACAGTAGCTAACGGAAGCTGTCTGGCTAACCAGCTTGATTTCTTTGATTGTGTGTTTACGTTTCAGCTGTGTGCGTATGACGAGCAACATGACAGTTGTTTGTCAACTTTGATCGAGTAAGTTAAGATTTCCTAACTTGAGATGAGATAAGATGCTGTAAGATAAAACTCCTTAATTAAGATCAGTTTTGCTTCTGTAATATGAATTAGTGAAAAATCTGATCTTGACCTGTCAGATCTTCAGACAAAAAGAGAGGAAGTTTCTGTAATACGACCCCCGATCTTACAACGTCTTACCTCAAGTTAGGAAATCTTAACCTACTCAATCGAAGTCAACAATCAACTGTCATGTCTGTTGCCTAGCAACCGACCATACGCACACAGCTGAAACATAAACACGCAATCGAAGTGATTGGTTAGTTATTTACTATATAAATTAAGTTCAAACAAAGCGCCCCCTGCTGTATATCAGAGCATCACTGCTCCCCAGTTTCAGCCTCCATTCTCCATCAATCTGAAGGACCCTTTCATGATGCATAGAACCCTTTGATCATGCAAGAGGTTCTTTAAGTCATATGTGGGTTTAAGCTTATTGTGTCAATTGTTTTCATTACGCTGCTTTACATTCTGTAGGAGTGTAACAGTGAAGTGTTGGCCCACCTCTTTGGCGAGGGTCTTTTTGAAGCAGTCGAAGGTTCCGGCATAGAGAGGTGACTGACCCGGACCTGGTTTCGGCTGAGTCTGTAGCCGCACCTGTGAAGGGCAATAAAAAAAACAGCACATGCAGGTGAGTTTAAAGAGGATTCAAAGAGAACTCAGGCTGAACTCCCCCAGTGGGAGCTGAGGTAGATCTACATCTCAGATGATCTCACCAACAGCGTCTTTACTTCCTACGGAGCCTCAAGAAAGCTCACCTGTGTCCTGGGATACTGGTGAACTTTTACCACTGTACCAAACTCACAAACTGCATCTCAGTGTGGTTCAGTAACTGCTCCGCATCTGACCGCAAGGCACTCCAGCGGGTGGTGAACACTGCCCAACGCATCACAGGTGCCCAGTTACCCTCCACTGAGAACACTTTCCATAAGCGCTGCCTGGGCAGGCGAGGAACATCATCAAGGACGTTTCTCATCCTAACCACAGACTTCTTACCCTCCTCCCATCTGGCAGGCGTTACAGAAGCCTCCGCTCCCTCACCAGCAGGCTCAGGAATAGCTTCTTCCCTGAGGCTGTGACCCTGCTGACCTCCACACCGTCACTTTAACCGCCTCTGTGCACTCACTGCACTGGTACTGTACTTTATATTCTTGTATAATTGCACTTTTCATATTTGCACCAACAATTACTGTACAGTTTTACTCTACACACTTATCTTTCACATATGCTCCTCCCACGGGACTTACTACCTTCACTGTACGCTCTCCACTCACTCTGTATACATGCATATTATAGTTATATTTGCATATCTATATAGTTTTTTTACCACTATATACCGTCCTTCTGCACTTCACATGTAAATAATACTGTATTTTGCACTTCTGGTTAGATGCTGACTGCATTTCATTAGCTCTGTACCTGAACTCTGCACAATGACAAAGTTTTCTAATCTAATCTAAACTTGGTGAAGGAGCGTCTCTGAGGATGTGAGTGAATTATCTACTACTGTCATCATATCTTCATCAGTATGATGTTGATTTGAGATCGTTTGAGGCCGAAACATCGAGCCGGACCTTCTTTTTGAGTCTGTGTGTGATGTTTATACGTAAAGACGTACGACGTGGTGTGAAAAACTCAACGCCTCTGACTTTTAAATGATTATTTCAGGCTTTACAGGGCGACTCGCAGCAGCAGCGCCGTGTTTTAGCCTGTTTGTGTTCTCCTCACTCTGTAACGACACTTATTTCAGTTTTAACAACAAAACATCTTACATAGTGCAGCTTTAACAGCTTTAACAGCTTAACACGAGTGTGTGACGATTAGCACTGAGCTAATTTGTGGGTTATAAGCTTCAGTTACTTGTTAGCTACTTTAGCCTCACAGCACTTATAGAAGCAAACAGGCCTAAAAACATGTCTTATCTGGTACACACTTAAAGATGGTTCTTCTGGGGTTCTTTAGTAAAGGCAATAGTTCTACTTAGACTCATGAGTTCTGTATAGAGCTACTGCTTAACTTAAAGGGGTCTCTGCATGGTGAAATGGTTCCTCTGACTGATGGAGAATGTGTTGTATATGGTTCTGTATAGCATCAAAAAGGGTTCTGCTACTGTTATGATGTCAAGCATCATTAGAACAGTAGAAGAACCTGTCTTGGTGCTATGAAGAGCCATTTTCAAAAAGGTTCTATATAGGCCCATCTACAACACATTCCCCATTAATCTGAAGAACCATTTTACCATGCAAAGAACCATTTAAGCATGCAATGGTTCTATACAGAACTTCTGGTTCTGCGAAGAACTATTTCATCAGGCAAGGAACCATTTAAGCATGCATTGGTTCTATGCAGCACTCATAGTTCTATGAAGAACCATTTCACCAAGCAAAGAACCATCTACGCATGCAATGGTTCTATGCAGCACTCATGGTTCTACGAAGAACCATTTCACCATGCAAAGAACCATTTAGGCATGTAATGGTTCTATACAGGACTTATGGTTCTATGAACCCTTTCACCATGCAAAGAACCATTTAAGCATGCACTAGAACTCATGGTTCTAAACAGAACCACTGCCTTTCCTAAAGAACCCATGAAGAACCACCTTTTAAAGTGTGTAGACTACATCTGGCCTAAGTGGGGAGAACCGGGTCAGATTTTTGGCCAAACTGTCACTTTTAAAACATCCACACTGCTTGAGTGACGTCAGCAGGTGCGTCACATGGCACAGCTACAAACTGACAGCAGAGACAGATCTGGGTCAAAGGTTAAAAGTCCACGTACTGTTAGAGCAGCGCGAGGGCAGTTTAACCTCACTGCACTCAGTTTCACGTTTAATTTAAGCGCTGATATAAATATTAATATAAACATAAGCGAATCTGTTCACATTCACAGTATAGGGAGCTTTAAGTTGGCTGCTTGTTCGAATTTCCCGTTCCACCTTAAATGGAGCAGCCAGAATGTAACTGCTGCACCATTTAAGGTGGAACGGAAAATCCGAACAAGTATGTGTAAAATAGGAAGCCTCGGTGAGGGTCTGGAATATTTAGCTCCTTTGTTTATTACTGGAAAAAGACGAAAGTCAGTATTGTTTCACCTTAATAGTGTCCAGTGGATGTCCAGCAAACACCAGACAGACACCTCCAAACCCTCCGGCGAAGAAGTTCTTCACAGGACTGATGGGCTGCGGCTGCTTCGACATGGCTGACAACCTTAAAACAACAGAAGAGCTGGGTGAAGTCCGGAAAGGTCCGCGCAGAGATTTAGGAAACGGCTGTAAAGGACCGACCTGCTCCCCTCACCGACAGCGAGCGCGGTATGGAGACCTTTCACCTAAATATCCACCCGGACACATCTGACTGTTGCACCGCTGTTCTGAGTAAGAGCGCTAGAGGGCGCGCGCGAGAAGGCCAGCTGTTATTATTATTTAAAAATAATAATAATCAGCTTTGATTCAGTTATGGAGCCCCTTAGATAACATGATGACCATTTTTAATAAGGCGTGACCTCAAATTAATATGTTGAGGCAACAAATTACTATATGGCACAATATATTACTTTAGGCCCTCAATCCAGCAATTTGTGCCCTCAATGTATTAATTTGTGGCCTCGACATAATAATTTGTTCCCCTTAATATAATAAATTGTGGCCTGAATATAATAATGCATGGCCTCAATATATTAATTTGTGCCCTCAGTATTGTGATTTGTGGCTTCAATTTAATAATTTGTGGCCTCAATATAGTACTTTGTGGTATCAATATGGTAATATGTGGCCTCAAAATATTAATTTGTGACCTCAATATAGTAATTTGTTGACTCAATATATTAATATGTGGCATCAATATAGTAATTTGTGGTTTCAATAAAGTAATTTGTGGCCTCTCTATAGTAATTTGTGGCCTCAATATAATAATTCATGGCCTCAATATAGTAATTTGTGGCATCAATGTATTAATTTGTGGCTTTAATATATGAATTTGTGCCTTCAATATAGTAATCTGTGGCCTCAATATGTTAATTTGTGACCTGAAAATAGTAATTTGTGCCCTCAATATAGTAATTTGTGGTTTTAATATGGTAATATGTGGCCTCAGTATATTATTCTGCAGCCTCACTAAAGTAATTTGTGGCCTCAATATATTAATCTGTGGCCTCACTATAGTAATTTGTGCCCTTGATATAGTAATTTGTGGCCTCAGTATATTAATCTGTGCCCTCAGTATAGTATTTTGTGGCCATATTAAAAATAATCACCATGTCACTTTAGGGGCTGTAGTTACTCGACAAATACAGACCAAAATGACCTAAAAATATAAGCTATGAAGCAGTAAATAAAGACAATGAGAGAAACACAGTAAGAGAAATAAGTGACTAAACAATTAGTAAATAAATAAGGACTTTAGCTTTCATTAACTGCTTAAATAAAATGTTATAATTACAGCAAATTGCTCAAGTAATGGATTTTTTTGTTTTTAAAATTTTCATTTACTTCATAAAGATATCAGCTCAAGAATAACATTTAAATTCAGATTTAAAAGGAATAAATAATTCTCTTTTTATGTTTAACAGATTTGGACATGTTTGCTACACGTGGTAACATCCACCCCCAAATATCCACCCCAAAGCACTTTCCACATTTACTTTACATTTCTTTTTGGCCGGCGTGTCCCTTTAATGAGACATTAATACATGAGTACTACACAGAGGTACTGTATATTAACAGTAGTTACAGACGTGTTATACTGTACAATACACCAATCAGGCATAACATCATGACCACCTCCTTGTTTCTGCACTCATTGTCCATTTTATCAGCTCCACTTACTATATAGGTGCACTTTGTAGTTCTACAGTTACAGACTGTAGTCCATCAGTACATGACTGAAGTGCCTTTGAGCAAAGCACCTAACCCCCAACTGCTCCCTGGGCGCCATGGATAGGGTTGCCTGCCGCTCCATCACTGCCCCCTAGCGTGTGTATGTGGTGTTTCACTGCACGGATGGGTCAAAAATGCAGAGGTGTAATAAGGCTCACTTAAACTTTTATTAAATAAAAAAATAAATCACACAGAGTCATAGTTTAGTGTTCATTAGGACGGCTGGCGTTTTTATTAGTTCTGTAAACTTTTAAGAAAATACATTTTGCTACCAGTTCCTTTCTGAACACTCTGAAACTTTTGGGAAAATATAGAACAGTTGATCTGCTGTCAAATTCTCCTTACAGGTGGCGAGACAACACAGGTCCACATTCACCATCACTCAGTTACACGCTTTAAAACTCGACACACACACAGCCAGGCGGCTCTGCGTTCATTCACTCCATGCACTTACATCTGTGTAGTTTATAGTGGATGTCTGAGTGAGTGAACGTGTAATATCACAGTTATAATACTGACAAAATCATATAAAGGGACCATTTTTTAAAGGGGAATTCCACCCATTTTTCAAAATTCCTGCATAATTCAGTGTGTGAGATGTAAACAGAGTGATTCAGAGTGGTTTGGTGTGAAATGGTTCAGATGTCTTCACAGTGGTGGTGATAGGAACCAGGGGTCGCCATGACTACAACACAAATATAGACATTTTATTTACTGTCCAAAACCACCAGTGAACCTACACAAGTCTTCTGAGTTTATATGGAATGTTGATGATGGAAAATAGAGGAAAATCTGAAATAATAAGTTTTCTTTGGGGACTATTTTGCCTCACAGCGCCCTGCATATTATGTATCCCTCCACCATGAATGGATTTTAAGGCCAAAATCTTCTCGAACCTATCATAAATCAGTGTCTCAGTCATCAGGCAGTGAATTCATAAGCATTTCATGTAGTAACTTTCTGTGAGGGAGCTTTTAGAGGTGGATGTCTGGTTCCTATCACCACCACTGTGAACAGTTCTGACTCAGTAAGTTTATCTAGAACAGAGCGTTTCACACCAAAGCACTCTGAACCACTCTGTTTACATCTTAACCATTTAATTATGTGGAAAAATTTGGTGGAGTTCCCCTTTAAGTGGGTTAATAGAGAGCAACACACAATGTACGGGAAGATTAGACTGTATTAATGGAATTAATCGACTGAACATCACAGACGGGCGGTAAGAGAGTGGAATAGAGGTCAGGAAAGCGAGAGAGAAAGAGATATAGCGATACAGAGATAGAGAGAGAGTAGAAGCTACAGCCATATCGTCTGGCAGATATGTAAAAGTGCGGCGGCTCAGAGAGGTAGAGACTGAGACACGAGATGATGATCTGGTTAAAATAAAAACAAAGGATATTAACACAACAGTGGCCCAAGTGTCAAATTCATCCCTCATTCATGCATCCAAAACACTGGCATTCAGAAGACTAGAACACTTTCAGAGCAGAATATTGCAGCCGTGGTGTCGGTACGGAGGGATGCAGCTGAGCAGGGATAGCAGTAAGGCTCAGTATTTTGCAGTGCAGTTTTTGGCACCAGCAGTAACTTTATGACAGAACACTGAAGTCGTGTCATCATTATGTAGTCGGCCTAATGCATACAAGGAACGTCCAGTCTAAGCTGTTTTCCTCTATGGGAAAAATGAATGGCATTTTCAAAAAAAAAATACGGTGCTGCTGCTGTGAGTCACCCTATAAAACCTGACATAATCATTTAAAAGTCAGAGGCTTCGAGTTTTTCACACCACGTCGTACGTCTTTACGTATTAACGTCACACACAGACTCTAAAAGAAGCTCCGGCTCGATGTTTCGGCCTCAAATGATCTCAAAATCAACATCATACTGATGAAGATATGATAACAATAGTAAATACTTCACTCACATCCTCAGAAGACGCAACTGCTTTGTGCAATTACACATTTCCACCAGAGAGGGCTCCAAATCCCCAAATCTTACATAGTGCAGCTTTAATGGGTTGAAATGTTAATGAGCTAACACTGCTGCGCACTACACACTTAATAAGGGTGGTTCTTCAAGAGTTCTTTAGTAAAGAAAATGGCTCTATATGGAACGAGAAACATTCGAAGAACCATTGCATGACTGAAGATTTCTAAATAGTACCACAAAGGTTCTTCTATTGTTACAACATCAAGTTCGTAAAAACAGAAGAACCATTTTGTGTGCTGTATAGAGCCCTTTTCAAAAAGGTTCTATATAGACCCATCTACAGCACATTTTCCATCAATGCAAAGAACACTTTAATCATGCCAAGGGTTCTTTGAGTGTTTGTGGTTATATGGAACCATTTTCTTTACTAAAGAACTCTTGAAGAACCATCATTTTTTTAGATCGGTACTACTAAACTGTTATTTATCAGCACCAGCAGCCTGAAACAGACAAAGCCTCTAAACTACCACACTGGACAAAGCCTGCTGGATTGTTTGAAGTAGCAGTATCTGTATTTAAACTCCTCAATAACCTCCCAATGCTAATTCAGAGGGTTCGGGGACTTTCTGTGAAATAAATGGCAAAATGTGGGAAGTTCGGAATATTTTTGTTTACCACAGATTCCAATAACTGTGATATTCAAAAACGCCATTCATTTTTCCAATAAAGGAAAACAGACCTGGAGTTTTTAATATGAGCACGACTCCGTCTACAGAACGAACTTCAGTGGTCTTCATTCTACATAAACGCTAGTTTCGAACACTGGCTAATGCGGTTAATAGCTGCAGTAGCGTCAATGCAACAGTAGCAGGTCAGCAGAGATGAGTCAGCTGGGCAGGGCTGTCACGATTCTACGTTCTAGCTTCACGGAAACTGACCTCTGAGGACGTGTCGTCATTTCGTTATTAGCTGTTAGCATCTGGATGAGTTCTGGCAAGCTAGCTAAGACGGCTAACAATACAGCTAACTTCTACACTATATAGCAACACTAGCCACTTCAATATTAGCCTAAAGCCTCTTAACCACCACACTGGACAAAGCAAAAGTGTTTCGTGAGGTGATTTAGTGACGTCGCCAGTCTTATCATGTCAGTTCAACAAGCGGGAGTGTTAGCATGTAGCAAAATTAGCATTTTGGCTCTCGTTATTCTGGGGGCTCAGTGACATTTGGTGCAAAAGGAAATTCAGGACGTTTGGAACGTTTCTGTTTGCTACAGTGGCGTTTTTTTGAAAATACTGTTTATTTTATTCATAGAGAAAAACGGCTTGTAGTATTTTGGCATGACGCACGACTTCAGAGGTCTCTGATTAGTCAGGTATCTGCTTGATTATGCATATTTTCAGTTCCTCTACTGCTCTGTCTGACAGTAAGAAGCAGGCATTATATGCTTTTTTAGCAACGTAGTGTTATTTATGTTATATATGTTTTAATGCAGGCTATTTAAAGGCTTCCTACTTCCTTCAAAAGCCCCCGCGTGGTTAGCTGTTGTTCATTTTTATTACTTGGCAATTACTGAAACTGTGGTTACTCGATTACGCGTGAAAATAATCAGCAGATTACTCGGTCACTAATATAAGCGAAGGTGACAGACCTACAGCTGAGATTCAGAGGAAGTGTGCACTACTCCTCAAACCAAAGTAAGACCAGTATGGTAAGACCAGTGCTAAATCTCCAGGAGCGCACTACAGCAAGGGCCCTTCTAAGGAACAGCACTGCAGTGAGACCCTTAAGATCACAGGAGAGTTGGTTATTTAATAGATTATTGTCTGAGGCTGGTGGAGGACGCTGCAGTCAGAGTGCTAAACCTAACGCTGTGTTCCAGCTGTTCACTAAACAAACCATATAAACTATATTAATCTTTAATAATAGAGGTGTAAACCTTTGACCTCACGATTCAGTCTGATTACAATCTTTAGGAAATCATGAAATCTCACATCTCACCATAATTTGATTCGATTTTATGCTACTCTATATTATTTATAATATTTAACTTATCGCTGCTGTTGGAACAAAACCTTGTATCTCCATTTTTGTTGTTTTTCAGTTTTTGACATAATTTGGAAATACCCACTGTCCTTTAGATTTTGTGTAAATTTCAAGATGAATGGGCCGAAAGAAACAGAAAAAAGTCTGGTTCCATTGACTTACATTAAAAGTAAAGCATGATTTTTCCTTCTCCTGTAAAATTACCATTTTGAGATACGAGGTTTGCAGTTGTATGCAAGTTTGTGTGCCTCTGGTCAAATTCCATGTAGTTGTTGATTTTCTAAGTATAAATAAATGAACACATCCTCTATGGAGACACACGTCTGCACGTTTTGATACACAATTACAGTTAATTTTTTTCCCCCAATATGTTGAACTCATAAGTAGAAAGCATGCACTAAAATTTGCAGAAAAATTCCAAGTTCCCTGTAGAGGTTCACTTATTTTTACTTAGAAACTGAAGAAAATATGTAATTTGTTTGGGAACGCACAAATTTTACACAAGACTATAATAACTAATTGATATTTATTATTATCCTCATTATTATTAGTGTTTACTATACAACTGGAACAGAGCGTAAAAGTAGTTACTACATTTTTTACATTTACGCTTTAGGAACGTTTCGTAGAGTACCATGCAGAACTACGAACATAAAACTTCGTCGCTGTCCAAAAAAAAACATTGTTCATTTTTTTCGATTTTCATTGTTCTACATCATCTGAACACAGCAGCTATGCATATTTAATGATGAACGGACCAATAGAAACGCTCCGAAATATATTCGAATATTATCTTTTTACATTAACTTACATTAAAAGCGAAGCAGGTTTTTGCTATTTTGGAGATACTTGTTTTCTCTGGACAGCGACGATCTCCTGAAACGTCTGGTGCTCACTGCTTTTTTTTCAGTCTATGTTAAGGGCTCTGTGCAGTGTGCCCTTGTTCCCTCTTTCTAAGGGCACTCGCTGGAGCGTGCTCCACCAGCCGTTTGGGACCAAACCGCTCAGTTCCTGCTGATCTGAGGGAACTCTTTATAAATCTGCTGAACTATGAGTTTGTCCATCTGCCGGGCCGTGGCCGAGCTTTCGTCCTCTCCGGGGTCATCCTCCTCTCCCAGAATCCTCTGCAGTGCGGCCTGCAGGTCGGGCAGACGGTGCTGGTGCTGCATGTAGTCGGTGGAACGCATGATAGCGTGCATCAGTGAGAGATACTCCATCCTCAGCTATAGAGCGAGAGAGAGAACAATAAACAATAACAGAAAAAAAAGGTTAGACCCTGAAACGCAACAGAACCAGCACCCAAAGTGCAAAATAAAGCCTGCTATGTTTAATGATAGCAGCAGCAATAATAGCAGTCATTCTATCCTGTATAAATAAAAAATATTAAATATACTGAACATATAAAATATAGTTTTGGGCCAAACAAATTAAATATAAACTGGTTACTATCTTGGGTTTAAATAAGTCTTAATTTAATCTTTGTTTAAATCGTTCTTTCACTGTGGTACCGCAACTAATTCAGTAGAATGGTCATATCATCGCTGGCCAAAGAAAAACTTGTATCTCAAATTTTTGTCAGTTTTAATTTTTCTACACCCTCTTCAAAATCAAGATTTTATCATGAATGGACTAACAGAAATGCTCCAGAATCATCTGGAATAAAACCCTTTTTGCATCCCCTTTCTTTAAAAGCTAAGAACGTTTTGGTCTTCTCCTGTAAAGCTAACATTTTGGAGAAACACGTTTTTTGAGTGATGATATATAACAAAAGCAAAGCAGGTGAAGTTGCTTAGGTGTTGTACCTTATCTCCTGGAGACAGATCCGATATCTGTCGTACAGCAATGTCGATCATCACCATCATATCAGTGTGATAGAAAATGTCCGCAGAGTCACGGCTGGCAAACACGTCCTGCAGGAACTTTAGTACGGAGTGTGGAGCAGGGGGGGCGTGTTTAAAAATGCACACAGGGTCCTCTATAGGAGACACACAGAAAAGCAGGACTGAGGATCATTTCATGCAAAAAGTAGCAGCATAGAAGCAAATTTTGTACTGAACTGTACACAAAATAGACGACTGTGCATCGTAATGTAGTCGTCACCACCCACATAAGGACAGTGTGACGGATGGTGTGGAGCATTTTGGTCAGTCTAATGATTTTAATTCAGGATTTGTGTGAGTTTGTATGTAGTAATATTCATATTTCGGATCCTTAAAGATCAGAGGATTTAAAAACATGCATGTGTGTGTGTGTGTGTGTGTGTGTGTGTGTGTGTGTGTGAGAGACCTCCTCTGTTGAGCAGCAGCAGGATCTTCTCAGTCAGCGTCTTCACATTGTGTCTCTTTATCAGGGTCTGCATCACCGTGTTACTGTCCGGCACTGAGAAACAACACACACAGAACAATAAAAACATCTCAACATTATTGATTATATACAGTATTATAAAAACGATATTATAAAACACCCACCTGCGTATTACAGAATCATAGTGTATTACTGTATTGTGACTAGCGAGTTAGCCTGTGGCTAACGTGATTAAAGCTATATTAGACTGTTGGTTCAGGAAACCACAAAGTTCAAATATTGTACTTTTATAATAAACTGGAAATGGAAACATTACCATTTTAACATAAGGCCCGTTTTCAGCCCCGTCTTATTTTTGCTGTATCGAAAAATGTATTAAATCAAGACAACAGAGTATCGTATCACTCTAAATCACAGGGTTTATGAATCATTACGCCTCCTCTGTTCATCTCTCCATTCATACACGCATACATATATACATCCACCTGTCTGTCTATCCATCCATCCAACCATCCATCCATCTACCTGCCTGTCCATCCATGCATCCACCTGCCTATCCATCCACTCATCCATTCATCCACCTACCTATCTATCCATCCATCCACCCATCCATTCATCCACCTGCCTATCTATCCATCCATCTGACTATCCATCCATCCATCCATCCATTCATCCACCTGCCTACCTGTCAATCCATCTATCCACCCGCCTATCCATCCATCCATCCACCTACCTGATCATCCATCCATCCACCTGCCTATTCATCCACTCATCCATCCATCCACTGACCTGTTAATCTATCCATCCAACTGCCTATTTATCCACCCATCCATCCACCCGCCTATCCATCCATCCATCCGCCCGCCTATCCATCCACCCACCTAGCTGTTAATCCATCCATCCCCCTCACCTACCTGTCAATCCATCCACCCACCTATGTCAATCCATCCATCCACCTTTCAATTCATCCATCCACCTACCTGTCAATCCATCCTTTTACCTGCCTATCCATCCATCCATTCACTCATCCACCTACCTAAAAATCCATCCATTCATTTATCCATCCACTCATCCATCCATCCACCCGCCTATCCACCCACCTATCCATCCATCCGCCAACCTGTTAATCCATCCATCCACCTGCCTATTCATCCACCCATCCATCCATCCACCCGCCTATCCATCCATCCATCTGCCTATCCTTCCACCCACCTACCTGTTAATCCATCCATCCCTCCACCTACCTGTCAATCCTTCCACCCATCCACCTTTCTATCCAGCCATCCATACACCTGTTTATCCATCCATTTATCCACTGCATTCAGCCATCCATCCAACTATCTGTCCGTACCTGTGAGGTGCAAGTTGAAGGCCAGTAGCAGGTTGATGAAGAGGTCAGGGAGCTGTTCTGTGGGGTCTGAGGGAAGACCATCCTCAATAACGTCCAGCAGGAACTGGATAAAACTGGAGTTCAAATGATCTGATACAGAGAGAGAGAGAGAGAGAGAGAGAGAGAGAGAGAACATGATCACCACATCATCAGTGATCTACACAAACACCTTCACTCCAGAGTTTTATAGTGTTTTACTGGCAGAAACACTCACTGCACAGATAGACAGTTGCGCACTGTACTGGGCAGTTAGTGGTCATTACCGTAATGGCGGTAGGGCACCTGCTCCCCCATACAGAAGATCATGGCCAGAACCAGGGCTGTGTAACACATCTTCTGATGCTCTGCAGAGTAACGAACACAAGCTTCAGCTTTACGGACACATTAACACTTCCTCACACTTCACAGCTTCTGACTGATCAGATGAAACTGCTGTAGAAAGTTGTTCTAAAGCCAAATAAGAATGAGTTCATTTGTAACCTGATTGATTTTATATGACTGAAAACAGTGATTATCACGTATTTCCTGACCCTGCGTGTCGGTCTGCAGGTCTCTGGCCAGCTCCATCGGCAGGATGGAGTTGAGCAGCGTGGAGATGAGGGAGGCGTCCAGACCGCACATCGCTCCAAACACCTTCAGCAGCAGCAGACGCAGAGACACCCTGTGCTCCTGCATAATTACAGTTATTACATTAATAACAGCTGTATTATTCTATATTCACACTGATAACAGGTTTATGATGTTAGGATTCATTTAAGGCTGGAGCCACAAATTCATAACTTATCAATAATTATCAAAATCACTAAGTAGAACTTTTCATTTTTCTCTTTCCATTTCATATAAATTGAGCATTCTGTACTTCAATCTACACAACATCAACAATCCATCCATCCTTCCATCCACCTACCTGCCTATTATCTACCATCCATCCTCCTACATGCTTATCATCTGCCTGGCTATCCATCCATCCTTCCATCCACCTACCTGCCTATCCATCCATCTTTCATCTACCTGCCTATCCATCCATCCATCCATCCATCCATCCATCCATCCATCCATCCATCCACTCACCCACCTACCTGCCTATCCATCCATCTTTCCATCTACCTGCCTATCCATCCATCCATCCATCCATCCATCCACTCACGCACCTACCTGCCTATCCATCCATCCTTCCATCTACCTGGCTATCCATCCATCCATCCATCCATCCATCCACCCACCCACCTACCTGCCTATCCATCCATCCTTCCATCTACCTGGCTATCCATCCATCCATCCATCCATCCATCCATTCATCCTTCCATCTATCTTGCTATCCATCCATCCACCTACTTGCCTATCCATCCATCCTTCCATCTATCTTGCCATCTACCTGGCTATCCATCTATCCATCCATCCATCCACCTACTTGCCTATCCATCCATCCTTCCATCTATCTTGCCATCCATACACCCATCCGCCCACCTATTTGCCTATCCATCCATCCTTCCATCCACCTACCTGCCTATTATTGACCATCCATCCTCCTACATGCCTATCATCTGCCTGGCTATCCATCCATCCTTCCATCCACCTACCTGCCTATTATTGACCATTCATCCTCCTACATGCCTATCATCTGCCTGGCTATCCATCCATCCTTCCATCCACCTACCTGCCTATCCATCCATCTTTCCATCTACCTGCCTATCCATCCATCCATCCATCCATCCATCCACCCACCCACCTACCTGCCTATCCATCCATCCTTCCATCAACCAATCAATGGACTGTTTGTATTTATTCTTATGTTGATATTTTTAAAATGTTTACTACTCAGCGTTATACATAATTTTCCTAAATAGATTAAGACTTTTGCGCAGTGCTGTATATGTATATATGTGTATTGCTCACCATCTGGTAGTATGAAACCAGAGACAGTACAGGTTCTGACTGATTGGCTCTGCACATCCTCTTACACACCTCAGGGTCAGCGTCCGTCTGAAAACACACACACACACACACACACACACACAGTTACCCATGCTGCAGAAACCTGGCTAAGCAGAACTGAAACTGAGGTTTATTATAGATCAGAGGGTCTCTGTGTGTCGGATTAAAAAAAGACCTGTTGTTTATGCATGAATGTTCCGCAGTTCATTTATAGTGATTCTCGACTAAAGGGCAAAGCAACTTTGCAGAAGTCTCTTTAAGGTTTCACTTTAAAAGACGTTTAAACGCAAAAGCTGTACAATCACGACATTTGAACGAGAGCTCTACAATCATGGGTTTAATCAGAGCAACACACAGCTTGGCGTTAGCCTGCCTGAGTCGAAGAGTCAAACTAGGAAAATACATTAACAGTGATAAAAAGATCACCGTGTAAACTTTGACATCACTTGACATTAGAAATTAATAAAAGTAATTACAAAATTGACTGACAAAATCTTAGTTGACCAGGAATCTGATTAGTGGACTCAGTGGACAGGCCTGTCGGGCAGTGTCTATATTGTGTACAAGGTGCACAGCGTGTGTGTCTCACCAGTATCTGCAGCAGTTCCTCCAGGTAGCAGGATATGAGTGCATGATCCTCATACAGAGCCCAGCTGCGCTGCTGTGAGTCGTCACGGTGACGAGCCAAATCACCAAAAATCACCTCCAGCCGCTGCTCATCGTGACACACCTGTCCCCGTGGCAGCGCCGCGCTCAGGTCCTGCAGTGGAGACGAGGAACAGGTACAATGACAACATGAGACTGAACATGCAAAATATTCCAGAAGATTCCTAAAATTCTGAGCTGGAATTTGCCTTTTGGAATTTGCCTTTCCTTAGGCTTTAGAGAAACTCTGCACTGCTCACTACTCACTGTGGCTCTCCTTCATTTGGGTACTTACTACTTCCAACCCAAACTACTCTGTCAACCAAAAAAATCACTGTGAAAAGACAGTTGCATGGAAAAGTTTGGTCAAATTCCATCTTGTTGTTGATTCTCTAAGTGTAAGTAAGTTAACACATCCTCTGTGGAGACACAATTCTGCACATTTTAGCGCATAATTACTGTTTATTAGCTGAATTTAACATACTGGGTATACCCCATAACACACAACGTGGCCTGTGCAAATTTATGGCACATTTAATATCATCATCATCATCTTCTCAAACCGCTTAATCCAGATCGGGTCATGGTAGCAGTTGGGAGAGCACAGAATCCCAGACGGCCCTGTCCCCCGCAACTTCCAGCTCATTCCGGAGGATCCTATACCACTCCCAAGCCAACTTGGAGATACTGTCCCTCCAGCGGGTCCTAGGACAACCTCGGGGGCTCGTCCCAGTTGGCCCTGCCTGGTAACCCCCCAACGGGAGGCGTCCGGGGGGGCATCGTAATCAGACGCCCAAACCACCTCAACTGGCTCCTCTCAGTGTGGAGGAGAAGCGGCTCTACTCTGAGCTCCTCCTGGATGACTGAGCTCTTCACCCTGTCAGTAGAGTGGAGCCGCCACTCTGTGAAGAAAGCTCATTTCCACCGCTTGTATCCGCGATTTCATTCTTTCGGTCATTACCCACAGCTCATGACCGCAAGTGAGGGTGGGGATGTAGACTGACCGGTAAACAGAGAGCTTCGCCTTATGGCTCAGCTCCCTCTTCACCACAGTCCGGTACAGTGACCGCATTACTGCTGCCGCCTGTCCCAGCCTGCGGCCGATCACACCATCCCTCTTCCCATCACTCGTCAACAAAACCCCGAGATACTTAACCTCCTCCACCACGCATTTCATTTTTTTCTAATATGTTAAACTGTGCTCTAAAATTTGCAGTGTGTTCACTTATTGTCACTTAGAAAATCAACAACAATATGGAATTTGACCAAACTGCTCCATATGACTGTACATGTCTGGCAAATTCCAGCACATTAATGTCTATTTATTAAACAAAAGCTTGTTATCGTAGCTCAATAAAACGAATGGAGAAACTGTGTGGATAAACTTTCAATCCATACCACATCTGTGTTTGTAAGTAGAAGATATTTTATTATGACTATATTTTAATGAAAAGTTATCGTGTGTGCAGTTGTTTTTTTGTCATTCTTTTTGCTTCAGAAAAAGGCACAGACTCAAACCTGTCCATACAGAACATAAGTCAAGTGTAAAAGTAACTCATTATGTAACTATGATATATGTAAGTACTTTTAGACAACAGACTTCTAAGGGTAACTATGGCATGCGCCCGTCCTCCGGGCCCCAGTGATGGCCGTGAGAGCCGGCAGGAAGGCGGGACCCAAACTCCAAGCGAGGACGGCGGGGAGAGAACAGAGAGTGAGAGGGCAAAGGCATGTGAGTCCTGAGCCCTCCTCCTGGGCGCTACTTCCGGTCCGGCAGCGAGGCCACTTTAATTTGCCTTATGTTTGACCCAGGCGGCCGAGCTGCCGAGCGGGGGCGGTGACGGGGAGGCGGAGCAACGAGCTCTCCTTCCCTCTCGGCTCAGGTGCTCAGAGCCTTTTAAAAAGAGCAGAGAGGGAACAGAGGGAGAAGGAACGAGCAGCAGCAGCGACAGGCAGGACTGAAAAGTCTAACCTTAAAGGCCCTGAAAAGTGGACAGCTTTGGTTGTGTTTTCGTGAGTTTGCTTTGTGTTGTTTGGTGTGAAAATTACAGTTAAATGGCTGCTGCGACCGTGAACCCTCTAGCGCCCTCCTTGTGCCCGGGGTAGCGCATGACATGCTACAGTAACGTAAAGACCAACCTTGCTCTCGACCAATGACAGCAGGACTTGCTCCAGGTCAGCCGCCGCGTTAGGGATGGTGGTCTGTAGATGCCCGACGACCACACCCACAGCAACGCGCGACATCTCGTAACTAAGGCCCGTGTTCTTCCTCACCAGCTCGATCAGCTCTGCCCCTGTCGTCATGGAAATGGATGCTGAACTGTGGGTGGGGCTGTCGGTGGGGCTGACAGAAATAGGGGGCGGGGCCGAGGGCCACTCGGCCTCTGATTGGTCTTCTGGGGCCGGCTCTGGCATGACTGGCTGTGACGTGATTGGCTGAGGCTGGGGTTGAGGGGCGGGGCCTTTTTTAGAGGGCGCCGGCTGGGCAAGGAGGGATGGGGAGGGGTCAGGTGGAGGAGGAGGCGGGGCTTTAGCGCGGCTTGGCACAGGAGGCGGAGTGCTGCCCGCACTGGGAAGACTGACATCGGAGGAAATGACAGAGTGGGTGGAGCCAGACTGTGATGAGGCGGAGCTTAGGGAGGGCGAAGGTGCAACAGCGGCAGGCTGATCAGGGCTGTGGGCGGGGCCAGAGGGGCTCACTCTGACTGGCACATCAGGTTCTGCAGAGAGAGAGAGAGAGAGAGAGAGAGAGAGAGAGAGAGAGAGAGAGAGAGATTATAATAAGAGTGTTAAGAGGACGAGCGGCACATCAGCCAATGATTTTCATCAGCCTGATTAAAATGGAGTGAAAAGATTAAAGTTTAAGCTGGTGACGTTTCGAGGGATGAAGAGAGAGACTGCACAGTTCGGCCGGAGCACTGCTGCAGACAACGTGCCCCCATATTACCCCAACATACTTCAGCTCCAACTGAATATTTTTCTATAATTACCGCTAATCATGAATGAATTAATCAAATAACTTTTCAGTTCCACTCTCTTTGCCTCTTCCATCGTTCAAACAATAGAAGCATCAGGGAGGGATCATATGAACATTATAGAGCTTTTTAAATGAAACAGTAGAAGCCATATCGCCCCCTACACTTCCTGTAGTGTATTACAGTCTGTCAGAGTGACTGTGTGGATCATATGAACATTATAGAGCTTTTTAAATGAAACAGTAGAAGCCATATCGCCCCCTACACTTCCTGTAGTGTATTACAGTCTGTCAGAATGACTGTGTGGATCATATGAACATTATAGAGCTTTTTAAATGAAACAGTAGAAGCCATATCGCCCCCTACACTTCCTGTAGTGTATTACAGTCTGAGTTCCACTGATTTTTTTTAAAATTCCTGCATAATTAAGCTGTTCAGAGTGGTTTGGTGTGAAATGGTATATAATATAAAACGCAGAAGACGTGTGTAGGTTCACTGGTTGTGTTTCCACCTGGGCGTCGGGTCTCTCTGCGTTTCTCTGGAGGAGGGGGGGTTATGGGAGCGGCTCTGCGAGGCTGTGGGGGAACCTGCAGGACAAAAAAACCGAGAGAAACACGGTGTTACAGGGAATAAAAACAGAACAAAAGAGAGTAAAGCTGTATGTTTTCCACCCTAACACCCATAATTTGACTCATCAGCTAATTATAAACATCCCTCAAGAGCTGATTCACACGTGCTGAAGGAGAGAAAAACAGAGAAACGTGCAGAGCATGGAGACCTCCCCCAGTCTGGATCTGGAGCTCTGGTTCATGCTGCATTTTCACTGGGCTTCTCGTTTCTCCTCCCTTTCATTCTCTACGGAGAGGCAGCAGAGCGAGGAAGGCTGAGAGAGCGGAAAAAGCTGAGAATTTTTAACCTTTATGCAAACGAGAGGCAAATTTTTCCAAATTGTGATTAAACAGACAGTGTGATGTGCTGCGGTGCGCTGCCCACTGACAGCAGTGCTGTGGAAAAGGAGAAGTATGCAGCAGGAGATATTTACATGTGTTGAAATATTACGTTTTTAAAAATATACTATGCTGCATTCACATTGACAATAATAATAATAATGATAATAATAATAATAATAGTAATAATAATTTTTATTTATAAGTACTTTTCATGCCAGTGGCAGCTCAAAGTGCTTTACAGAGTGGTGATAAAGACCACGAGACATAGTTTTATTAAATGCTGAGTTAAAGAGATACATTTTTAGATGCTTTGTAAAAGTGAGCTCTGAGCTTGACTGTCTAATAAAAGCTGAACTGAGTTCCACAGTTTAGAAGCAGAATAACTAAAAGAGCCTCTCCACGTTTTGTGTTTTACAGTCTTTGCAGGAGGTCAGAATCTGCAGATCTAAGATCATAAACAGACACTCTGTGATGTCAGCAGGTGCTTTAAGGTCATTTAGAGCTTTAAAAACTAGTAGCAGAGCTTTAAAATCTATCCTGAACGATACAGACAGCCAGTGCAGCTCTTTCAAAAGCGGGACTGATCTGATCTCTCTGTGCTGTTTTTGTTAGGATGCTGCTGTATTTTGTACGAGTTGTAAAGGATGTGTAGTTTTCTTAGGAAATCCAGTAAGAAGATCATTACAGTGATCAACTCTGCTGTAACAAATGCGTGAACAAGTTTCTCTGCGTCGCTCTGAGAGAGAAAAGGCCGAACTTTAGCGATATTTCTCAAATGAAGCTACTTTAGTGACCGTGTTTAAGTGTGTCAGAGTCTAAGATCACACCCAGGTTTCCTACTTCAGGTTTGGTATATGAAGCTAAAGAGCCGAGCTTCTCGTAAAGCAGCTTTCTCTGAGTTTCAGTACCAAAGATAAATATTTCAGTTTTTCTGGATTTAACTGTAGAAAATTTGTGACATCCACTGAAAAAAATGGACAACAGAAAAGCAGATGTCTATATTATGGACAAGTGGAGTGCAGAGGGAAGAGCTGAAGAGTTCAGTCTTCCCAGCTTTTGTCAAAGCAGAGGAGTAAAACACACGTTGATGCACCATTTGAGGGGGGGTGTGAGGAGTTGCCATCTCCCCCATCAAAAAAGAAACCACAAAAGCTACACCCCTTGTAAAACGACCACCTTCACTTTCCATCCCCTTTGGTTTAATGTGATACCACTTAAGATGTCTGTTATCAATATCTGCATTCCATCCATACACTGTAAACAATGTGTGGGTTGCTGTAAAACGTTGAGCTCAATGAGTTTCTAATATTAAGGCCCAGTCCCATTTCACCCCTCGCCTCTACCACTTAGTCCTACCCCTCCTTTTTGCGTGTTCACGTCTAGCGGTAGGGTGTCCCCATTCTTGTTGAGATGGGGGGGTGAAGTGTTTGATAATCATCATATTATCTTAGTTTAATGTTGTTTCAGTGTATTATGGTCTTTTTCTTCATAACAAGCATAAAAAAACACTAGCAGTCCTGATGTCTCGGTAGCTCGCTAGATAAATTTCCCGCTCCACCTTAAATGGTCCAGCAGTTCTGACTCCTGAGGCACCAGAATGTAACTGCTGCTCCATTTAAGGTGGAACGGGAGAATTCAAACAAGAAGCTGGTGAATATCTGACTTCAGCTTCATATCACTGAAAAATTAGGGGTGGGTGATAATAAATAATTGCCCCCCTCTTTGAAGATCATATGATGCCCTAAATGTAACCAAAGCCCAGCAGAGAGGAGCTGAACTTTACCCTCCTCTGCTGTCACTGCAGACTGGCAGGGTCGCCTACAGAGCAGCGCTGGTAGCTGTTAATGAAGTGATGCTCTTTTTATTTGAGGGTCCCATTTCAGAGGGAAGATTTCAACCACTACCCCTTATAACTCAGTTCCAAGGGGCAAGATGACTCTCGAAAATAAGGGGTAGGGGTAAAAATTAAAAATTGGGAACTGGGCCTACGTCGACAAAGTGTGTGACACAGACTTCTGCTCTGTTAGCTCACTTCTAGAAATTCAACTACCTCAAATTTTAAAGGAACTAATTTTTAAAATGAAAACATCAATTTTCATTAAATGTATGTGAGGTTTATACACTACAGGAGTTCTTCATGCCAAACTAGTTCTGATCTGATCTGAGAATGCGCACCTACTGTAGAATGTTTGGTACATCGCACTGTCTGGTTGGACAGGTCTTCAGTTTCATGCAAAAATGAGGAAGGCTAGTTTGAAAACGCAGATATGATAAGACACTAGAAAGTCTGAACTTCTGGTGGCTCCGCTGTTCATTTCAGAGCAGGACGTGAGGCTGCATCCCTGCCCCTCATGGCCACATGGTGAGCAGTTAGATCCCATTGTTTTGAAGTAAATGTGTCCCAAAGTCTGAGAGTCAGTGTGGAACATTAAGAATCGTCACTACCGAAACACATTTTCTGCAGTCAAGTAGACTTTTTTGTGTTTTAATGAAAAATGTGATGATTTTCTGTGTGTACAGCTGTTCAAAACTGTGTTTGCTGGTCATGTGCTGCCTAGTGTTTTTGAGTTCTGCTCAAAATGAGCTAAAACTGAGTGTGTCTACATGCAATTACTAATCCGATCATAATCCGATCGTTATCTGATTATTCAAATGGTCGTGTAAACAGCACACTCTGATTTCTTAGATCAGAGTAAGGTCTAGAAATCTGATTAAGAAATCCTATAAAGAGGCTGGATTTCAGCTCAGTAATCAGATTTCTCAGAGCATGTAAACTCTTACTCTGATTTCTTTCAGATTTCTCAGTCCGAGCATGTGCGAAACAGAAAGCGGTACCGGAAATAAGCGAACGGCGTCGCCACGAGATGCAGCAAAACTGTTGGAACGGAGCTGAAACTAAACACGAAATAAAGGATTTAAATATTCTTCATCTTCTAGATGATGTTTGTTCATATTTTCAGGTAAAGCGGCGCGATGTTAACAAAAAAGCCGCAACATGAAGTTTTACGTTACGTTTACGTCGCGTCTTCTTCTGTGAGTTTATTGGCTGGTTGTAAAGCAGAAATCTGATTACTGTCTGACTCATGTAGACCTGGAGTTTCCCCATTATCTGATTACTTATGTACATGTACATATGGTGATGGGATCACTGACAAAATCTGATTTTCTGCAGTTATCGGATTATTAAGTGCGTGTAAACTCACTCATTGTCTTTACCAAAGCAGTCACTACTGAAACATTTGGTGAAGTGTTTTTGTGTCATCAATTTTTGATAAAATAAACATAATTAAGTACAGAGTCACTCAAAGCAAAAGGACTCTGGTTTTAAGTTCCAGCTCTGACTTTGAACCAGTTCAGTAGAATCATCCATATAATTAAGGCTCTGTAGAATGAAGTCATTTTAACACTGAAAATTACACTGAACTGGATATTGAGCTCAAAACATTTGCATCGTCACCCCTCTATACTAAACTAGCAATGCTGTCGCCATGGCAACGATTTTAGCAGCACATCCCCAAGCGAAGGGAAGCGACTGTAATGAATGAAAGTGTAATTTAAATAATGAATCCATCGTCAGAGCTGCGCCGTACCTGATACAGTCCTGGCACATTCTCAGTGCTATCGGCGATCGGCTCGCTACCCTGGCAGCTGAAGGCCCGGCTCAGGCCGTTGGGCGGCTGGGGGGTGTGGCTTAGCGAGAGCTCGCTGCTGGAGGAAGGAATTCCTTGTTTGTGATTGGACGGAGTCGGACTCCGGCGGGAGAGAGTTTCCTTCCTGTGGTGGATCAACTTCCTGCGGAGACAGGAAGTAAGAGTGAGATTACACTGCACATCAAAAACAAGAAATGACTTACGGTTCTGTTACGGTTCATTCACCTTCTGCTTGAGAGACGGCACGTTAGCGATGTAACTGTGTTTTTGCCACAATTCTAAAGTCTAAAGCGTCTAATTTGATTAAACAGCTGCCTCACTTGCTTGTTAGCTTATACTGGCGTATATGAAGTGATATCCTGCATTCACACTCACAATATTCTGTACTTTTACACAGAATCGAGCATAGCTTCACTATTTTCTCGAGAGTGAACTGAAGCTATTAGCTATTTTGCTCAATAGTGAGCTTAGCTTGATAATAATAACAACAAAAATATACTTCACCTCTCTGTTTCTCACAATTAGAGACCTGCACGAGTGCTCGAACACTCGGTTAACCGTCTGAAGTGTCAGTATTCAAGCACTGAAATCACTATTTGGGTATTTGTTATGTTTCATCACGAGAAAACATTGAAAACACAGGTTAACAACAAACGAAACACGATGGTTTTGCTCAAATTTGCGAGTATAAGCAAGCAAAGTTTATTTATGTAGCGCTTTTTACAACAGATGTTGTCACAAAACAGCTTTACAGAAAAATCTGCATTACAGAAAGAAATCCGGGTCTGAGCCCCCATGAGCGTCACCAGTGGGGACAGTGGCAAGGAAAAACTCCCTAAGAAGACAGGAAGAAACCTTAAGAGGAACCAAGACTCAGAAGGGGAACCCACCCTCCTCGGGTCGACACCAGATAGCAAACATTGTTATAAGGTATTGTAGTACACAACGGGGAAGACAGGTGGAGCAGTGGTTAATTAGATTAGTTTAGTTTAAGCAGCAGCAGCAGCAACATTGGGAGGGTCGGTTCGTGAGGGTGAGGTTTGCACAGTGTTGTTTAGAATGAAGCTCAGTGGTGGTCAAGCCGGTCCAGAGGGCTGGCGAGCAATGGGCACCCGATAAGTGGCTAACCCACTTAGCACGGCTGTATCGCTAACTAAGCTAACTGATAAAACAATGAAAATATATTTCTCTGACAAATAACATGTTGGCACGTCGTTCACTGCGGAGAAAAGGCCTCGTGTAGAAAACGACGAGTCCTCGTCAGCATCCAACCTGACACTCGTTAGCTCTGTTAGCTCATTAGCTCGTCTGAAGAGGCAGCTAGTGCTACTCACCCAACGCAAACATGCTATTTCTGAATAATAAAGCGTGTTCCTCTGCGTCGTGCTGCTACATTTGCTGCACCAGTGCTGCCACCTAAATGTCCTTCAGTCCCACCTTATTTTCAATGAAATAAGGTATTCAATTACACAGAATCACATATCAATGTGAAAATATGAGCAAAAACATAGCACGAATGCTAATAATGTTAACGTTAGCTTCCTAACTCTCTAGAAAATACTATTCCTAAAATTATTACTTTATTATTACAAAAGAACATTCACCATTCTAGTTCACGTTCTGATGCTCTTATTGGTCTGTAAAAGCTTTTGATGAGTTTATTTTCACCTGGAAAATTAAAGAATTTGCTAAACTGTCGTTAGCTTCAGCTGCAAGTGTTACCAAAGACTGAGAACACTCTCAAGCACCATTAGGTCCTGTTTTGATCTTGAGCACCAAAAAAACATAAAACTGGAATCTTCAGCACTGGACTGATAGTTGACGGAAAAAGCACTAGTTCTAGTGTTTTGGTGCCAAAGGTTCTGCTGCTTAGCAGTGGCTAAAACCGAACTAGGCTCAGCTTCCTCTATGTAGCAGCACAAGACAGTTAAAGTGGTGCTGAGACGTGTTTGGGAGTCTGAAATTAGCTTTTTTAGTTCTGCTCTGGAGCTACGAGGCTAACGCAGCCAATAAGTGATGAAAGATTACACGCCAACAATTAGCATGGCGCTAACTGCATGGCTAATCACCACACACTTGCCTCAAGACTTGATTATGTGGTTTCTGACTCTGTATGACACACTTATCTGTACACACA